AAAATTATTTTTAAATTAGTTATTTGTAACAAATAAGTTAAATTTCTTAAAATACATTTGCTAATAATATATACTACCTCCAGTCTTTAATATAAGACCTTGTTTGACTTTTATTTTGATCTTAAATATAAGACCCCAATCCATTTTGTTTCTCATATTTATCTATTTTTTCCCAAGATAGTCCTTCTAATAATGGTAGTTCTAGCCACTACACTTGATTAGTAAGAATGTTTTAGAAAAAACAACACCTATGTATTACATATAACTAACTTAACTTGTTTTCTTAATTTTTTCAAACTAGTCAATTAGCTCTTACAATTAGGACAACTAGAATTACCAATTGATAGAATTTTTAACATATACAACTAAATTACTTTAAAAAATGAATAAATATGATAGACAAAATAGATTAGGGCCTTATATTTATGACTAAATTAAAAGTCAAACTAACTCTTATATTAAGTATCGGAGATAGTATATATATATTTTATTTAGCAAGGAAAAGATCTTGAGAGAAACCCGGGGGGTGTGGTTGAGCGGTGGGGGCTCATCCTCCCTTAACCAAGTGTCGAGGGTTCGATCCTTGCCTTGAGTATGGAAAAGCTTTAAAACCCCGGGCCAGCTGTCCCACCCATCGAGGTGCCTACAAGCCAGCGAAGGGATTAGTCACTGGGTCCGCCGGTGGATACCCTGATGTTTCATCAAAAAAAAAAAAAGATCTTGAGAGCATAGCCATAAATTTATTTGCTAAATAAGAAAATTTGAGATCCCAAAATTTAGGAAGAAGAAGAGGAAAGGTTTGAATCATAATGGAAGCTGGACCATCAGTTTGGCATGCGTGGGAGTTATATCCAATTTTCTGTTCCCTTGGAGCCTCTACCTACCCATCGTCGCTGTAATTAAGCAACCCTTTCCCAACCGATAATATTTGGTCTTCCCAAAATTTCCATATTTATATTTTGTCCTTTTATATATATAAATCAAGTTTATTGATTTAGTAATTCAAGATTTAATTATCTGGTCATCGTTTTGACTCAAATAATAAATTAAATTTGACTAATTTTTACCTATGGCCTATTATACTTTTGTACTTGTCATTCTAGGAGAATTATGTTGGTTGAGAATATTGAACATGTTTTTTTAAGATATTATTCAAATCAAAAGTTAGAAAGTCTACTTACCAACCAATGACAAGGTAAAATAAGTTGACTTTCTATTCCACAATGTGTGATTGGGAAAAAAAACATTTTTCGCGGACACATATTATAAACTTTTGTAATGTGAAAAACGAGAGAAGATTTGAATTAGGCGGTATGCATTTAATAGCAAATAGGGCATGTTGATAGAGATAAGAGGGGAAAAATTTTGGTGAATTTCATATCTAATTATGAAATGTGAGTTTCATATATAATAATACCTTTGCTCTTAAATATAAAATCTAGTTTATAATACAAATTACGCTATAAATTAATCTTATATTTAGAACCGGAGGTGATAATTATATTCTCTTATATGACTCTCTTTCTAATGACATCCTCTACATTCCTTTTATAAATAAATAAGATCCTATATTTTTTTTGGCCGTTTATAGAGGAGCAAGTTAACTAATTTATAAATATTAAAAAATTATTTAAATTAGTAGTAATAAATTGTAAAAAAATATGTGTTGATTCTCTAAAATACCTTTTTAATTATTTACAGTAAAATTACTCTTGATGAAAATTCCCTAATGAGTATAATTAATAAGGATAATTTAGAGAACACACTATGAATTAAAAAAAATCTTATATTTAGAATTAAAATAAACTACTGCCTCATATCCTTAAAATAAAAGCTCCTTGACTAATTTTTAAGAAAATTAGTTTGTTAGTAGTTATTTGTAACAAATATGAGTAAGTTGATTTTCCTAAAGTACTATTTTTTTAATTAAGACTATCATTAAATGACAAAAGAGATTAATTAAAAATTCCATATACAATGACCAAGAGAAACCAAACTTGAACCAGAAGTTTTTATTATTGTCCTAGAGATGAGAATGCACAACATCCAGAAGTATGATGACTTCATAGTATACATAATGTTTATGGTGATTAATTGCCTCAAACTTTTGACTTAGGAATAATCATGGGAACACACTCAAATCAACTTCCCACACAAGTCAATAGTGGCAAACCAGTTCCACTAAACAAATGGCTGCCTTAATCATCGCCCACAGCACAACTAGTGTTGGGAAAAGAGGGGGGGAGAGAGAAATAATGGATTAGTGGAGATAATTACTTGGATTAATTATGTGATTAAGAAGGCGTGTTGAAGTGGTTAGTGGAAGTAGTCAAAGTGATAACGCAGGAAAAAATGAAGAGGCAAGTTGAGAATGAGATTGATGAACAGATAGATTGAAGGACGGATGAATGACCAGTGGATTTGGAATTTTGGTTTTGTGCTTTTATGAGCTTATGGATTAACAAGCCCATCAAGGTACACAGAGAATGTTTTGGGACTTTTATTAAAATCAAGATGTTCATGATTATCCAAATGGAGCGATTGAGTGCTTTTCATTTGGATCTTAATTGTGTGATTCTTCTTGTCATCTTGCATTTCTTTTCATCCATGCGTTCCTCCAAAAGCAACAAGTTATCAATATTTCTTTGATTTTTTTTCTTACATCATGATATAATTAACATCTATTCTCTCTGATTTATCATTACAAGAACTTCTAGCGTGTTTCATAATATGACATGTTTTGTTTAAAATATTAATTTTTTTCCATCTAATATCCCTAACTAACTATACAATTTTTTAACTACTTAATCAAAGTCCTGTGCTTAATAAATTTTATTGAAAGTAATTTTGATATATTACTAAAAAAATAAGTAATGTTAACTAATTTCATTAATTTACATAAGTCATTGTTTGGTGCTTATAACAAGATTGAAGGGAGTTTTTATTTTTTAAGTAATGTTTGGGACGCAAGATGTGAATTGACTCTTACGATTCAAATCTAATCCGAGAGAATTAGATATTATCTCTAGTCTTTAATATAAGATTTTGTTTAACTTTTATTTTAGTTTTAAATATAAGACTCCAATTCATTTTCTCTCTCATTTTTTTTACGACAGTCCTTGTAATAATAATAATTTTAACCAATAAACTTGATTAGTAACGATATTTTTTTAAAAAAATAACACATATACATTACAAATAACTAACTTAGCTACTTTTCTTCGTCTAGTCAAATTAGTCAACTAGCTTTTATATTAAAGACCGAAGGACGGAGGTAGTAATATGGATCAAGTCTCAAGATGGAGAAGTCATGCTATATTATTTATAATCTTTAGTGATGAGCGCGATGTCTTTTTCTTTATTAAATCACTTAAGCAAGTTTGAATGAAGAATAATATAAATAATTTTCTTAAGGAAATAAAAAAAAAGAGACGTGGAGAGACATTAAAAGCACGTAACGATTGATAGAGGAATGGTGGTTGAAGGTATTAAGGCACTTTGTAATATAAGGAATGGAGGAAGTAACAATACCAATAGTGACAAGGGGATTAGGATATTCAGTATTTACTGGGAAGCAAAAACATATATGATTTTTTTTTGGTGGTTTTGGAAATTTCTGGTGAGTTGGATCTCGAGAACTCGTCAGAATTAAGATATGCCTTCATGCTAAAAAAATAGAGGCGTGTATTGTAAGGTATTGTAATTAGGATTTAATTTAAAGTTATAATGAAGATGTGGCGGTCCAAATCAAAAGCAAATGCAAAGAGGAGCTTGGACCAGTGGACCACAACAAATGGGCTAAAGATGACTTGAAGTTGAAGCATGTCGTTTTTATTGGTGACCTCGTCACTGGAGATCTTTATGGAGATTACATCCCACTGTTGTTGTCGTTTATTAATTGGGCTGAGCCCGAAAAAGTTTGATCCTGGTGACGATGAGGCCCAAAATCCATGACTGTGGATACATCTTAATGATGAAAAGCCCAATGTTTGTGTAGCCCAAAAATGTAGTTGGGAGTGTTGGACCCAATTTAAAATGGCCTCTTTGCCCAAATCCATTTGACTCTTTTAGGATCCATTTCGCATTTGCATATCCTCTTCACTAGAGTTCATTATTTTCATTAAAATAGAAATATGTACCAAAAATATATATACAGTGAGGGGGTTATTCGTCCTCCTCCTTATTATTATTACTTGTATTTCAGAATATTAACATTTTCTCTAAAAAAAAAAAGCACATGAATATCGTTTTCCACCCTGCGGATTATACTTTTTATTTAACATCATTGTTATTTATTTATTTTTGGTACTAAACAGTTAGGATTAATAATTTAATTTTCAAATATCTCTTCATCCTTAGAGACGCTAACGAATGGTACACATGGACGTAAGAGCAAATCAAAGCTTTTTTTTTTTGTGGGACAAGAGAAGCTTGCAGAATTTCATTTTACTTTGGGCTTTAACATATGAAAGGATTAGAGGAAGTAAGTCAATTATGTCATAAATAGGATAATGGCATGAGAGTTCATTTATAAATAGGAGTAAATACGATTCGTTAGCGTAGCAAGTTGCTTAGATATTTGGTAATACGATTCAGAAAAGACGTCAGATATCAATTAATAATAATTAAAAAAAATATATGTCTTTATAATTTTAAAAAGAAGAAGAATAAAGCAAGAAAACTCATATTTGCATCATACAAAATTTTTTTTGGCCGTATATCATGCAAAAAGGTGACATACTTTTCTATATTCATTAAAAAAAATACGTGGCATCAAATTCGGCAAAAATAACATAAAACAGAAAGTTCTTTTTTTTGAAAAAAAAAATGTGGCATTGAAGTCCTTCGCATATTGGGACCATTTTCTCCGTTGACATGACTGCGGACAAAGTAACGCAAGGTAGGGACCATTTCCAAAATATTTGGGGTCCTATTATTTTCTATTTATTATGATAAAACTCTTAGATCCCCTTCCTCCCTCTCCTGATTCCTCATGGATTCACATTATTGCATGTCATCTTCGTCTTGCTCTGCGCATCCGAAAATCCATACACATCCAAAGGCAAATTCACCACCGGCACTGCTAAACCTGCCGAGAATCACACCAACTGGCTTCAGAATAAGCAAGTATGTCCACTTCCTAAGTCCAAACCTCTTCTCTGGGTTAATTTTTTCCTTTACCTGTTTCATTTTAATTTGATGGGTTCCTACAATTCCTCCTCCTGCCAGTAGCTACTTCACTTGTATATGCTATCACCGCCAGAAGAAGCCAAATTCATTGTTCAGGAAGGAGCCTTTTGGTGGGAAAACGAAGAAGAACTGGGGCCATCATCAATTGGTTAAAAATCCAAGTGAAGCAAGTGACAAAAAGAAGAAGGGTAGCCTTGCTGGAGCAATTGCTCTTGTTATCGGGACCAGTGTCGGCTCTGGAATTCTCGCACTTCCCCAGAAAGCTTCCCCAGCGGTACAAACTTCTTTGTTCTCCCTGCTACACTTGAGCCGCAAAATAACAATTATTTGTGCCAAAACCTTTTAAGACTCTTAGACATGCTCTGTTAGTCAGATTCAAAAAACAACCCCGCGCGCGCGCCAAATCAACTATAGGCACTTCTTTTTCGTAAAATCTACTTTTATTATTAATTTCACCTTTTTATTTTGCTAGACTATGTCTGCTGAAGATTTTCTTTTTGCCCCTCTGATATCAGTTATCGAATGTTGGGGTGTTTACTGTATAATAAAAGCAGGGATTTGTTCCAAGTTCAGTATCAATAATAGTATGTTGGGCTTTTCTCCTCATTGAAGCACTTTTACTTGTTGAAATCAATGTGGCTCTTCTGAGGAAGAGGAAGAGGAAAAGCGATGGTGACTTGGAGGTCATTTCTATTACAACAATGGCCCAAGAAACACTTGGGGAATGGGGTGGTACTCTGGCCACTCTCACTTATGTCTTATTGGGATATAGTTGCATGGCTGCTTACTGTTCCAAATCTGGAGATCTTCTTTTTCAATGGATCAATCTCCCGGCACCAGTATCAGGCTGTCTATTCACTGCTTTCTTCACAGTGCTTATCTCCATTGGGGGAACCCGAGCTACTGATCTAGTTAACCAATGGCTTACAGCTTCCATGATTGGTAAATTCATAATAGAACTCTTTATGTAATATGAGAAGTTATATAGTAATATTTCCCCGCCCTTAGATTATCATTTTTGTCATTTTCGTTTGCTGATATTCATTTGCCAGATAAAGTAACGCATCTCGAGAAAAAAGTGAAAATTCATGGTTAAAAAACACGACATCTAGGAATAGCTTTGTAAGCATGTTGAAGGAAAATTTGGGTGCGGGTAAAGCTAGGAATCGTTGAGATTAACTCAGAAAGAGTTTTGTTTTGACTGTGAAGTGCCAGTTCATAATATCTGTGCAGATTGCCTTCCCAGTCATAATCTTGCAAAGGATTTTGGAGTAATCAGGTTTAGGGATCCCCCTCAGGCTTTCGAAGGACATTTGTATAGGGTCACTGTGGGTGTTTCAATCCCACGTTCTTCATTGATTTAATAAAGAGCTTGGGCTCTGGCCCCATTTTTTACCAAAAAATTTTCACAGCAGCACCTTTTCTAAATGTTAAATTAACATGTTAATGTTGTGATTACTTGGGTATCTAGCACTTTTAGTTATTTGGCGATTCTAATTTTGCTGAACTCCTGCACTGCGACCTACATGCCCATACATCAGAATGCCCAATGATTAGTTTGATTACTTCATTTATCATTGAGAGTAGCAGGTAAAATGTCGTTGTGAGTAACATTTGGAATGTTTAACTATGTGTAGAATGAGTCTTGTAAACAGGTCTCTTATTGGCTATCGAAGTGCTAGCAGTTACGTTTGGGGGATTGTCTGGAATAGGAGGAGGCAGTGACTGGTCAAAAGTGCCCGCAACGATGCCCATCATTATCTTTTCCCTTGCGTATCATGATTTAGCACCTGGTAAAGATGAAAACTTATTGTTTGAAATCGAACATGGACATAGTCACATGACAAAATACAGTGTTCAAGTGCAGTTTGAAGTCTCATGTTGTGTCTAATATGAATTTCAAAAACAATTTGAGTTTGTTTACAAAGTATCCCTGTTTCATGGCTTGAAATCCATACTTGTATATCCCTGCAGTTCTTTGTGCGTATCTGGAAGGTGATTTGGATCGTATAAGAGCTTCAATATTTTGGGGTAGCCTTGTGCCACTAACGGCATTGCTTGTTTGGGATGCAATTGCCCTTGGTTTGGCAGCAGAAGCAGAACAAATAGTTGATCCTGTGGAGCTGTTATTCAGGTATTTCATCGCTTGCAGAATCATCATGGAAGACCTCAGTGACTGATACTATCTCTGGTCCTAATTATAAGAGCTAATTGACTAATTTGAAGAGATTAAGGAAAGAAGTTAAGTTAGTTATTCATCATAAATAGGTATTGTCTTTCTTAAAATATCCTTGCTAATCAAATGTATTGGCTAGAACTACCATTGTTAGAATGACTATTTTGAAAAAAAATACATAAACATTAGAGATAAAGTGGATTGGGGTCTTATATTTAGGAACAAAATAAAAGTCAAACGAAGTCTTATATTAAAAACCGAAGGTAGTATAAAACCACACGTTGGTCCTCAAAAACTAATCCCACGTATCATTTTAAAAAGTTTGTATGGCTTTTGTTCTCTTGTTATTTATTGAAATGAAAAATATAAAATTAAAACTGGTAAGTGTGAATGATTTAGGGTGGAATGGAGTGGTGTTCCACTTTTGGTCGGGGCCTTCTCACTTCTAACAGTTGGGACTTCACTTATTGGTACCCTCCTCAGTTTTTCAGAGTTCTTCAAGGAGCAGCTTAAGAATCTAACCTGGAATTCTCCTCCAACCCAGGAATTAAATGTAAATTTCATGCCTTTAGTAACTTGATTAGATAATCTCATGTGTCTACTAAATGATTAAGGCCGTTTGGACAGGGTGGTTGGTGGGGAAGGAATAAAATGAACATCATGGCTATGACAATTGTAGTTGCTCCTTCTCTGTTTGTCTCAACAACTTTTCCAGATGCATTCTCCGCCGCGACTGATATTGCTGTAAGTTGGGGAAGATGGTATTCCTTTGGGAATAATCATCAAAATTTGCTTGAAATGAGATTGCTCTGAAACTAAGCATCATGCGTGTACACTAAATTAAGCAGAGGCGACAAAAATATAAACATATGATGAAATATAAAGTGTTCTTATTGATTTGAAAAGTAAATCTTATATCTGCCAATCTTTGAACGCACATGATTCATTCTGTTGAAGTGTGGATATTTTAAGCTTTGAAAATAGAAAGCATACTATTGTAATCAAATTTTGTCACGTATCATGTAAAAAAGTTTCAAGCCTTCTTCTTCTTGTTGGTCACTGATACTTGATGGTGAACCAGGGGGGCTACTGCCTGACAGTGCTGTATGGAGTTCTTCCACCGGCAATGGCATGGACAATGCAGAAGAAAGAATATGAATGTTCTGATGAAAAGTCGTTATCAGATGCTTGGCCAGCTCTTATTATGGTTGCTTTATTTGCTTGTGGCATTGTGGTGGATCAAATCTTGCAAGATACCCAAGCACTGCTGTTGTAAATTCCTTCACCTTAATTTTTCCATGTAGATAATTTCTCCAAGTCCATGTCTCATGCAACATGTAACATTGTGACATTAAATTCCTAATAAACTTCGATGGAAGTGAGATTATATTTTGCATATGGTTCTATGCTAAACTGAAGGACATCACGCCTTGATCAGACAACCCATAAAGAGTATTTTTCCAATGTGGTCTTCTGGCGAAATATCTGTCATTGCTGAAGCCCTAGAAAATTAGTTTGTAAGAAAACAGAGAGGAAGATATGTGTAGAATCCTGTAAGAACGACTTGAATGAAAACTGAAACCCTTCGGGGAATTTCACTTTATGCATTGGGGCCATATTCCAATTGAAGGCTCCATTAAATTTCGTTTAGTTTGTTGGTTCTACTGAAAGATTCTCGCGGATTTCCTGTATGTAGTTGTTTTACTTCCTGTAAGTGCATGTCTCATTTTTATTCCCGAAAAGCAAAATTCAACTTGCATGAAGCTTCAAATTGAGCAATATTGGTGGAATTATGTCAAATATCAAAGACCAAAACTATCTTTAATTGTCATTTATGAATGGTATTACAAAAATTGCTCTATCCCATCAAATTTATTTTGTCCTTCTTCAATAAATAAATAAAATTTATTTTCTTAGGTTGGGGCACCAGACTCCAGAGATCAAAATTGTTAGCCATTTACAGAAGGTCAAAATATGATTTTAATACAATAAACAAATAGCAGATGTACACAACGAAAAGAGCTAATCCCCGCAACTTAATGCACCAATGTTCAAATTCATCTGGAAAAGTGCCCGACTGTGTTGGATAAAATTGCTTTTAATAAAAAAATATTTATGCTTAAAAAAAAACAGATATACTCGTATCGTTTAAACCCAAAAAACAAAAAACCACCTCATTCTATAAAACTGTTATGAATATAATAATATTTTTATAGATGTATATATATTTTTTATATCTTTTATTATTTTCAATATCTCTTGTTATTTTATATTCCACAATAATTTTATATTATTACGTAATCTATAGATTTTGTTAAAACATAAACTTGTACCTATAAATAAAAGCTATATATTATGTATTCACATATTTAATGGAATAAAAAATACTCTTATCTTCTATCCTCCTTTCTTGCTGGAACTCTTGTATTAGGAGAGAGGGGAGGCAAAGGTTAGTAAGTATTCTCTGAATTTTTTTTTATAAACAATAACTATCATCCACATTTATAAGTTATCTTAAATTTTTATAACAAATGTTCTATTTTATTTCATTAATTATTTATTTTAATATTTAATATATTTATTATTTCATTTACTAAACTATTATCTCTTTCTATCCATATTTTCTCTCTCATGATACTTTTTATTATAATAATTTTTTTTGGTCTCTTTTTTTTTACTCTCTCCCTCATACATAGAAGTATTTTGAGAAAAAAAACTTTAATTTTTACTTATTTATTAAGTTTAACTTACTTTTTAATCTACCTCAAAATAAATACGGAGGGAGTACCATCTAAGCCCAGAGTACCAGAGACGTCAATCTAGAGGGAACAAGCGACTGGGTAAGTATTTAGATCAACTTATTTTGAGTAATTTTAAACTATTTTTTTACACAGGTTGCTAACGCCACGAACAGGGATAGTAATGAAACCAAAGAGAGAACATCTGAGCGTTTCTTTAACTTTACTCCAACATTGCTCGTACGTCTATTTTTACCCAATAGTCAGTACACACGTACCTAGGTTGGGATGGTCTCCAGATTACATGGCACCTTGCTATTGCTTCTTTTTATTAAGTTCCCAATCCCAACGCTACTTATACTGTATCCCTGAGCACGCGCGAAGTTAATCGCTCCCCTCAACGGCGGCGCGTTGTTTAGCCTTCCCACCGGATGCGCGGCTGCGCAGCCACTCTACCATATCCCCAAATACCAATTCCACGTTTTCATTGGATTCGCCGATCAGCTGATGCCACATCCCCTCGTATATCTTCAACGTCTTATCCTTACTGGCGGCACGTGCGTACAACTCCTTCACGCAAGCCGGATCGCATACCACGTCATCCCCGCCGTGCACAATCAGGAAAGGTAGCTCCACCTCTTCGTACCTTCCCTGCAACTCTCTGCAAATCCTCAGCAACTCAAGCGCCGTCGCCGCGCGTGGCCTGGTCACCTTCCTATTCGGGCTCGCCATCGCCAGCTTCCTCTTCCACTCCTCCTTGAACGACACCTCCGGGATGGAGCCGCGAGTGGGAACCACTTGCCACGTCGGAACTACGGCAGCCACGAGTGAAAGAAAGTGCTCGAGTGGCCACGGTGGCTTGAACTTTGCACTAATCCCGCACATGGCGCCATTGAGGATGATCCCATCCCATGGCTTGGACCCTCCGGCGGGCGAATCGGGACGGCGGAGAGTGATGAGGAGTGCTATTGCGCCGCCGAGAGACTCAGAGTACAGGAAGGAAGGAAGAGAAGAGTCGTAGCGGGAACGAAAGGAGTCGAAGAAAGAAATGCAGTCGTCAACGACTGGGTTAATGTCGGGGATGTGAGCGGCGAGGCCGTCGGAGAAGCCGTGGCCTTGGTGATCGATTGCGCAAGTGGCGAATCCAGCCTTGGTGAAGTGAACGGCGGTAAGCTGGACGAACCAGCTGGATTCGCCGGTGAAACCGTGGACGAGGGCGACGATTCCGAGGACGGGGGTGGGAGGGAGCGGGGTCCACCACTGAGTGAAGAGTTTGAGGCCTCGAGAGTTAGTGATGAACTCGGAGCCGTGACTCACCGAGTGACGAGCGTAGAACTCGTCGGCAGTGAGGGAGCCGAATGGGCTCTTATCGTTGGCCTCCGCCACCGGGTGCACCATTCTCGCTAAAATGCGCCGTTCTGCTCCGAAACCGTTGGGTTTTCTCATGCTTCCCTCTCTCCCGCTTCTATATATCTTCTTTTGCTTCTCTCCGCCTCATCTCAAATTGAAATTGAAATTATTTTTATTAAAATCAATATATAAAGATATTGTAATTTTATTAATATTATTTTAGTGTCTTTTATAAGGAAGATCTGCCAACAACCTACGCATAAAAGTTTTTTTTTTTTTGGGCCAAAAAACCTGCGCATAAAAGTTAAGAATTTTTTAGTTCACATAAGATATTTGAATTCTTTCGCTCTGCTCCTTAGAAAGATAGTTATAATTAGATTGTGATTTTTTTGACCAGGAATTAGATTGTGATTTGAAGATTGGTTGTGAGAGAAGTTACATTTTTTTCCTTTTAACGTAAGTGACGAATTTTTCAAAACTACAGTTAAAAATATTTAATTCATTATAAAAGTAAAGTGATTTCTAATATTATCTTAATTCACAACACTGAATTCTAACATTATATTAATTTCTATTTTTTTACTATATTAAATACAGGTACAGATAAAAAATATTTAATACTCATTAAAATTATTCCATGATCTTATAAAAGGAGCTTTCTACTTTTTCACCAAAAATTGCTTGACGTTCAAATTGAATTATCCAAATTCAACAAGTATAGTAAGTCATGTTATATATGAGGGACACCAAATGTACTCTCTCCATGTCTTTTTATAAACAACAACTATCATCGTCTTGTTTTTAAATATAAGTAATGTTTATAAGTTGTTTTAAATTTTGTAGCAAATTTTCTATTTTACACTCATTAATTACTTATTTTAATATTCAATATATTTATTGTCTCATTTCTCAAACTATTATCTTTTTCTATCACACATTCTCTCTCTTTCATAATTCTCTTTATTATAATAATTTTTTAAATTTTTCTTATATTGTCTCTTCCCTATAAATAAGGATATTATGAAAAAACTTTTAATTTTTACCTATTTATTGTTTTTAACTAACGTTTGATCTACATAATGGAGTACTCGTAATTAAGTTGTTTTATGAATGATATAAATTACTCCTCCGGTCCTAATTATAAGACCCAATTGACTTATTTGAAGAGATTAAGGAAGTAAGTTAAGTTGGTTATTTATAATAACTAAGTGTTGTCATTCCTAAAATATCCTTGCTAATTAAGTATATTGGTTAAAACTATCATTATTAGAAGGATTATCTTCGAAAAAAATGCATAAATATAAGAGACAAAATGGATTGGGTCTTATAATTAGGACCAAATAAAAAGTCAAATTGGGTCTTATAATAAGGACCGGAGGAGTATAATCCTTTGGATGCTGTTTACTCATTTTTGCCTGTAAATTAATGATATTAATTTAGGTATTTGGAAATGATAATAGTAATAAGTGGAAAAGAATGAGGAAAATAAGATCGAAGGGAAGTAAAAGAGAAAAAAAGGAAAGAGAAAATAGGGAATGATGCAAATAATGAAGCAAGTAGGCAACCGTAATAAGAGAGCAAGTGATGAGAAGTTGGGAAGGCAAAGGGCAGATGAAATGTTTAAATGCGCGGCAGAAGTTGTTGACCCACGCAAGTCTTGCCTTTGTTTTTGATGGAACACTGCTTCATCAATAACCCTATCTTTATTCGAGGGAATTGAAAGGAAAGGAAGAAAAAAAAATTAATATACGATTTAAAAAAATACGAACATAGAATTATAAAATTTTGATTAAAAAATGTGAGATAAAAATCAATTAATAACTTTTAATCTCATTCTTTCTATTTTTTAAATCAAATTCATTAAAGTTTTCTTTTCTCCCTTTTATTTTTAATTATAAAATCTCATTTGTAGTCTACAAATAAACTCTTATAATTATGACCGGAGATAATACTATAAATATTTTTATTTTGCTTACCTCATATATAGATTTTAATAAAAACTCACCCATCATGCATTTATTGAGAACTTAATATTTGGCCCATATTGAAGGTGGGTGGACCATAGCGCCAGATAGGGGAAGCATTGATAACAGGTCGATTTAGTCAGAAAGTGTAATCCATTTTATATCTGGGCCGTACCTCTCCATTTTAATGATTTTATCCAACCGAAAATGCCCTTTTCACCATTTAAAGAATTTGCATTTATAAGAAGCCTGGTCCCCATAATCCAAGAGAGAGAGTGCCTGTTTGGATTTACTTTTTTTTAGCTTAAAGTGAGCTTAAATTTTAAAATAAGCTAGATTGCAACTGAGGCCTGTTTGGTTTCACTTATATGTGATTGGGCTTATGGAAAAAGGGGCTGATGGAACGCTCAATTCTCATAAGCTCAAAAAAGGAGCTTATTGCTTAGCCCAGAAGAGCTTCTCGCGGAAAAAATAACAATTTGTCAGATGCTCAGTTGTTTTTTTCCTCTCCCATTTTCATTTCCGTCTCACAACTCATCTTTTTCCTCTCTCATTTTCATCTCTCACGTGCTCAGTTCCTTTTTTTCCTCTCCCATTCTCTCTTGCCGCCGTGAGCTGAAGGTCGCCCTGCTGAAGGTCCCTCTGGTCGCCGTGAGCTGTGGCGTTGTCATCGTCGTGCGCTTCGAGTCGTGGGTGTGAGGTGTCCATGGTCCGCTGGAGGTGCTTCTTCCTTGCAAGTCCGAGCTGGTCCAGCCGTCTGCAACCAGGTCGTCGCCGTCTGCCTGTGGTTTCGAGCTGTGCGTCGATCTTGTCTTGCGAGTCTGATACACGGTGGGATCTATCTCTAGCTGCCTTCGATTCGGTTGATCTGTTACAGGTTGGTGATTACAATTTTTTCTTTCTTTTCTGGTTTGATTCTTGGTTGGATTTGCTGTCGCCGGTGGAAGTGAAGAGTTCTCCGTCGCCGGTGTTCGGTTTATGATTTTTTTTCGGTCTGGTCTGTTGCGGTGCTCTGTTTCTGTCGCCGGTGGAAGTCAAGTGTTCTCCGTCGCCGGTGATTTTTTCGGTCGGTTTATGATAATTGCTTTGTTTTCCTTCTGGTTTTCCGACGGCTTGCTGGTGGTTTTGTGAATTAACGGGGAGCAGAACATAGATGTTGTATACGTGATGAATCATTCATTTTTTTTTTTGGTAAAAACGTGATGATCATTCTGGATATTGTATAAGTGCGTATGAGCTTGTGTATATGTGTATATCAGAGTGTTACACTGATTATTGGGTTGCAATGGTCCTGGAATTTTGAAAGAAAAATGTACAAAAAAAACAATTTTTTATGTGAAATAGATTGAAGTGTATATCAGAGTGTTACACTAATCATTCAGTGGTTTTATGTGACTGAAGCTAGTCAACCATCACCTTCAAATGTCAATTCACAGTCTTCATCTCATATGAATCGCGTCCGTGATGCAATCAGAGACCAAATTATCCATAGCTTATCAATTAATTAATTATGTAATATTATTATTTCATTTCACTTTGTCGCAATACTACTAATTGGAGTTTCAAAACAGTTTTATCCGTTCAAATTATGTTTTGCTTTTATTTGCCTGATATTTTTTATGATTTCTCTAAATTTTTCAATTTTAATTCACTCTAAATTTCACCTCTTCATTATATTATCTCAATTCTTTTTTTTTCATGTTTCACTTTATATTTCAAATATTTTTTGATTTTTTAAATATTTTATAATTTAATCCACTCATTAAATTTTATTTCTTCATATTATTTTATTTTAATTTTATTGTATTGTCTTAAATCAATTTTTCATCATGTTTCATTATTTATTAAAACTCATGCCCATTTTGGTAATTTTTCAGCCAAAATTACTTTTACTCAACTATAATCCAAACAAGCTTTTTCCAATCTCATTTTTCTAAACTAGCTTGTCTGAACTCCAATCCAAACACAATTCAGCTTATCCAATTTAACTTTTACCAACTTCACTTTTTCATAAACTACTTTTTCTATAAGCTGCTTTTCCAATCGCTGATCCAAACGGACCCAAAATCTCTTATCACAAGCCATGGGGAGTCAAACTTTGCTAGCATCATTTTTAGGAGTAGATGTTCATACAACAAAGCCTTCTTTTGTATTTAAGTTCGAGTTAATATAATCTTTAATACTTTAAATTTCAAATTATAGGTTTTGATTCCTTAAATTTCTTCTTATTTAAAATATTATTCCTATTATTCAATAAAAATTTAAACTATTTTGCCCTTTAAGAGATCAAAACTTATGATTTGAGATTTAAATGACCAAAACCAAAATGAAAACAAACTAGAAGGACTAAAAATTGTTCTAATGTGAAGATTACGTTTTCTTATTATCAATTTGCTTTTTAATTAAAGAAAAAAAAAAAAAACAAAAACAAGTCTAGTGCCTTTGTCTGTGTTATCCAAAGCCTTTCAAACAAATGTTTCCCAAACCAACAGTAACCTTATATATATATATATATATATATATCTCACTACACGGTCTATAGCAGCAGTAATTTCAAATACTAATAAGAGGAAGAACAGCTAGTTGGTGTTGGTCCTAGTAGAATGAATTTTGGTCATTTAAATAAGAAACCTTGAGTTTGAATTTGTGTAAATGTAGAAAAATGCTTTCAATTGAATCCGACAACATTGAATTTAATCGAAGAAGGAGAACTTCGAAGAGAGGAAGAGAAATTGAAGATATATGGTATGCTGTACATAGGCCACGGCGACTGTGATAGAGGGGGCATTGATTAGAGGTCAATTATTGAGAGGAAGTAATAAAATATCATCCATTTTATATCTGGCCCATACCACTTCATTTTAATGATTTTATCCAACTATTTTTTTTTTTGGTTTTCATTAAGATATCCATCGAAGCGAGCCCAATAACTAATTCCTCAGATACTGTCGAGTCCAAGATGGGGACGACCCTCTTAGGCACGCTTGCTCCATTCCCATCCCTCAAGGAATCGAACCCCAGAGGAGATGGTTAAGGGACACAACTCCTTTACCAGTTGTGCCACGCTAGTGATTTTATCCAACTATTGAGGCCTCACTTTTCGTCATTCAAAGAATTTGTATTTATAAGTCAGCTCCAAAAAAAAAAAAGAATTTGTATTTATAACGAATCTTGTTCCCATACCCCA